CAGCCCCAGGGATGCTCCGAGCCGCGGGACAGGGAAGGACGGAGCAGCAGCGCTGTGCGGGCTCAGCCTGGCCCTGGCTGCAGCTCAGAGCTCCCAGGATCCATCCCTGCTTCCCAGCTCCTGCCCCCAGCAGCCTCACCACCCTCACAAACCCAGACCTGCTCTCTTTCAGCTCAAAACCGCTCCCCCTTGTCAGAAGAAAACACAAACAGAAGCCCAAGTGCACCACAAGCCTTTGCCCAGGACAGCAGAGCCCCGCCGAGCCTCTCCAGATGGGATGGCTCCTAAAATTCCATTTCCCCTTCTTTAGGATGTGCCCACCCTGCTGCCCACCAGAGGATGTCTCTTGGCACCCCGTGTCCCAGAACCAGGCAATTCCCTGCTGGAGGGAATTTTGTTCCAAGCATTTGTCCCAGACTGGGAGTGCTCGTTCCTGCACTCTCTCTGCCAAGCTTCAGCCGTCCCTTCTGAAAGGAACATTTTAAAATTAATATTAATACTCTGCATCGTGTCAGACCTTCTCCTGCATTTCTGCTCTCTCCCAGAGCACCTTCCCTGCGTGTCCCACACTCAGCAGAGAGGTGATTCCTCAGGCAGGGCCTGCACTGCTGGGTGCTCCTGAGCACAGTCCTGGTGTGGCCCTAATGGATTGGTGACACTGTTACATTTATGGGTATTTCAGGAGAAAGAAAAAGGCTACTGGGTGTTCACATGTTCTTGTTGTATTATTTAAGAGAAGCCATTTGAGAGCACAGGAGAAGCAGTGTCTGCTCCCAAAAGGAGGGAAAATAATGGAGGGGAATATTTGCAAAAAGCTCAGTTAAGTAAATATTTTATGCCAAATAATGTTATGGCTTTTGAATGATGCATGCAAGAGAGTTGAAAGGAGGTGAGGCATGGAGCAAGGAGCACGTGGTGAGCGTGGAGGTGTCGGTGAGGGGAGAGCACAGTGCCCTCCTCGGGCGCTGCCTCTCACCCTGGCACGGCCGTGCCACTTGCAGGAACCTCATGGGAGCAAATCAGCCCTGGATGGGAGCAGGGACAGGGAGCAGAGAACGGGCAGAGAGCAGGCACAGGCACTGCCCTGGCCAGGAGGAAGAGGCAGGGAGAGCAGGGGAAAGGGCAGCCAGGGTGGTGGCTGGGGGAGCAGAGCAGGGCCAGCAGGAGCAGGGGCTCTCTGGGCAGAGGAATTCTCCTCCCGGCAGGCGCAGGGTGAGCAGCCGGCACGAGGGAAGCACAGAGAGGAGTAAAATACCATTAAGTGTAATAAGAAATGTACTTAATCAATGAGCTCTGCAGCTGAGGATCAATGGGAGGCAGACACAGCCATTAGCTCAGCAAGCTGAGGAAGAGCCGCGGGCCCAGATGGAGCGGTCGATGCTGGGATTAACCAAGCTGCAGAGCAAGGCTGCAGCCACAAGGCTGACCCTGCTCTGCTGCACAGGGCTCAGACTCCACCAGGGAGCACAAAGAGGAGCCCAGGCCATGGGCTGCAGGCTGAGCCCTGGGAATCACCACGATTCACACGGGCTCCGTTCCCCAGAGGGGTGAAACCCGACCCCTGATCCCGGGAGATGCTCCAGGTTCTCTTGGTGCTCTGGGCACGGGCTCCAGCCCTACTCTATCCGTGCTCCATGCCTGGCTCCATCCCGTTCTATTCCCGTTCTATTCCCGTTCTATCCCGGCCCCGCCGCTCCCGGGACCCCCCGGTCCCGCCCGGCCCCGCCGCGGCCGCTCAGCGCCCCCTGCCGGCCCCGCCCGGCTGCGCGGGGGGTCCGGGGGTCCCTCCCGGGGTCCCTCCCGGGTCCCTCCCGGGGTCCCTCCCGGGGTCCCTCCGAGCCCCCCGCCCGCAGCAGGCTCCTCGCCGAGTGCCGCAGCCCCGCGGGCGATGCCCGGCCCTTCCCTGCAGGGGCTGAGGCAAAGGAGCCATTTCGGGGCTCTCTTCAGTCACCCCCAGGCTGGAGAGAGAATCCGGGACACCCCACAGCTCTCCCAGCGGCACCAGCAGCCTCTCGGAGGTGACACTCAAACTCCTGCCTGCTGCTACCGGCAGCCAGAGCTGCCCAAGAGCCCCCACAGCACTCAAAGCTTCTTTTCCCACCTCCTTCCTCCTTTCCAGCCCTTCCAAGCAGCTTGGCTGGAGCACCTTCCTCCCTCCATCTGCTTCAGGGCTCGGGCCAAGAGCTGCTCCCGGTTCCACAGAACACCCTGTCAGAGCTGCCCTGCTCCCTGGGGCACACCCACCACACCACACACCTGCCCAGGTGCATCCCACCCCCAACAGCTCCACACAGCTCCCCCACAGCCCCCCAGACCCCACAGCTACAGCACTGCTGGTTCTGCTCATGGGCATTAACCACATTAACCAGCATTAACCAGCATTAACCAGCATTAACCACACGGTGCTGGCACAGAGGTCTCAGTAACACTGATGAGTTTATCCAGCCCTTGGTGCTCAGCACTGCCCGTGCTCAGCCACAGGGAGCTGCAGGTTTGCCCATGGCGTGCTCAGCACATCACTTTTCCCAAAGGCTGCAAACAGGCTGGGACACCAAGCAGGACAGTTCCCCTGGCAGGAGACTTCTCTGGGCTCACGTTCTCGGCTTTTCCTCAGTGTTCACAGAGCTCACCGGTGCACAGGGGCAGGATGGAGTGGCAGCCCCAGCAGCCTTTGCAGGGACAGTGCTCACAGCCCGTGCTGCTGTAGCAAAGGTATTTGAACAGCCTAGGCCATAGTTTATAGCAGGTGCACCAGCCAAGCCAGTTTTAGCAATCAAACACTCTGGAATTCATCAAGGCTACTGAAACATAAATTGTGCTAAACTGGGAAAAAAGAAGCTGAAAAAGAGAATATCAAGATTGCAAGAACTAAGGTAAGGAAGGGCAGTGAAGCACTGGACTGTAACCAATCCTATTTCCTTCAAAGTGCATGCAGAGCATGTGGACAAGATAGAGGCACCAATCAAGCAATGTGTGATCACTTGGACAGCAGTTTTATAATCTATAAGTAGGGCATAAGATAAATAATAAAGGAGCTTCTGCTTAATCACATTGGTTACTTGTTCAGGGCTCCTTTGCTCCTGCATGGTGCCCTTGGAGCTCCTTGCCTGTTCTCAGGGGTGTTTCCAAGGATGCAGGATTGGTGCCAGCAGCACAGAGCTGGTGCTCCAGAGGATGCTGAGCAGGGACACGGTGGGACCAGAGCAGCCACAGCCCCTCGGGCACATCCACACACGGAACCAGTGCCTGGGGCGTTGTTAGTGCAACATCAGCCCTTTCAGCTGGAGCTCGCAGCAGCGTGGCCAAAGGTGATGTTCTTTATCTGTGCCTTGTGCTCCTCAGATACTGGTATCAAAATGTGCCTTGAAACTCTCCTGACATGGAATATTCCTCGGAGATTAGTGCAGAGCTTCCCTCTCACTGGTCTCTTCCCTCCCGGAGGAGCTGATGAACACGATTTGTTATCAGCACTTTCCCCACACTGTGAGCACTGGCTCAGGCCCTTGGTGACCCAGCTCAGAACAGCATCTGGATATTTAGGGCCTTCCCTGAGCTTGGCAAGCGATAACATCTTTATCATGAGCCCTTTAAACCCTCGGTGCTACCAGGAGGCTTTGTCCTCACGGAAGGACAATATCGAACCCAGGGCAGCCAAAAAAGAGTTCCTCGAGTAAACATCAGTGCTGGGCTGGCAGAGAAGGTGCTGGGCTGGCAGGAGGCACACTGAGCTCAGGGAGGGCAGTGCTGGGCTGGCAGACACAAGTGCTGGGGTGTCATTAGCTCAGCACCCACTCCATGCTCTCTGTTAGCCAAGGGTTGGCTCAGGGCTCGGATCCAGGGCTGGGGGCTCAGGGCAGCATCCACCCCAGCATTCCCACTACCTGCAAAAGCCTAACTGCACTCCCAGCTGGTGTCAGCCCCGAGGTCCCTGCTGGGATCACTTGGACCTCTCACAGGGTCCTTGCAGGATTATCCCATGTCCCACCGGGCAAACACCCACACTGGAAGAGACACCAACACCCCCCGACAAATCAGTCCAGGTGGGAATACTTGAGATGCTCAGGTCTACAAAGAGCTTGTCATTCCATCCAGGAAGAACAAACCTATGTGCCTAAGCCTCATCTACCCAGCTCAGTCTTGGGGATAAACATCAAGGAATGACCCCAGACAGGGCTGGGAAAACCAGCTGGAGACAGCTCTGCTTGGTGAGGAGAGGGTGGCAGGCAATTGGGAAGCAAAGCACCAAGGAATAAATCTGCAACCTGAGCAGAGGGAGATCAGCAAAGATATAAAGGTTGTGAGTTCAGAGCCCAGGGAACCAAGGCAACCTCTGTTACATAACTGCAAATGTCAGTTTTACTGATAAATGAGTCGTCAGCAATGATTAAACCCCAGAAAAGCCATAAAGCAGCAGCTATTGAAACGATGGGATGCTGATACAGCGAAGGTCAGCAGTGCACGGATGGGGGTCACCCACGGTGAGCAGTGGGAGCTTCAGAGCTGGGATCACCCTCAGGAGCATCTCCAGGGGTTGATGCATGGTCAGGATCCAAGGAAGAGCCTCCTCCTCCAGAGAGCAGCTCAGCAAAGCCAAGTGGGTAAATCCAAGCTCCTCCCTGAGCCTCTGAGCCTTCATCTCAAGGTGGACAAGCAGCCCTGGGGTGTGAGTTGCCTTCTGAGGCTGAACTGCTGACCAGAGAGCAGGGCACTGAGAGCCAGGAGCGGGAAAGGACAGCAGGGTGGGCTGGGAGGGATGGGGGCTGTGCAGGAGGGTTCCCAGCACCACTGCCAAGGAAAGATGCTGATGTTTGACCCAGAAGGAATTTAAGATAATCTACTGCAGAGAAACAAACAGGAGACACTTGTTCTGATACCCAATGCTGCCTGAAGCCACACACCCCATCGGCAACTGCAAGATTAGATAAGGACCGAACTTAGTCCCATCCTGCACATATTAATGTCCCCGGACACCTGGGCTGCTCCAGTTCAAGGGCACGAAGATGCTGCTGTCACTGGGGCTCCTCTGGGCTGCCCTGTCCTTAGGAAGATGCTTCCCCCTGCAGCAGGCGTCCAAACACAACAAACTCCTCCTGGTGTCCTTCGATGGCTTTCGGTGGAACTACGACCAGGACGTGGACACCCCCAACCTGGACACGATGGCTGCAGATGGGGTGAAGGCCAAGTACATGACTCCTTCCTTCATCACCCTCACCAGCCCGTGCCACTTCACACTGCTGACCGGTGAGTGCCCCGGGGCTGGGCGAGGGCAAGGCTCAGTGAAAGACACGAGGTCAGGAATCGTCCGGACCCAGCAGAGCACAGAGCTTCAGAGCATACATGGCAATAATGCAGAAATGGTAGATTCAAACTAGATCCAAGGAAATTCTTCCCTGATTCCCCAGATCGCCCCATCCCAGGAAATGTCCAAGGCCAGGTTGGATGGGGCTTGGAGTCAGCCTGGTCCAGTGGAAGGTGTCCCTGCCCATGGCATAGAGGTGGAATGGGGCAGTTTTTAAGGTCTCTCCCAACTCAAACCATTCTGGGATTCCATGAACTGAACCTGTATTTATCAAAGGTAAATAGCACCAGACCAACTCGATAGCCTCCTTTGATAAGATAAATTATTTTTTAAACAAGGGAGATGCTCTAAATTTAATCTTTCTGGACTTCACTAGTGCATTTGATACAGTGCCACATGGGAAATCATTAGTTAAGATGGAGAAGATGAAGATTAGTGCAAAATCTGTAATGTGGGGAAGTGAGAGGCTACAGGAAGAGGACAGAGTGGATGCTGAGAGGAGATTGTCAAGCTGGAGGGAGGGCACCAGGGGAATTCCTGAAGAATCGATTTTGGAGCCAATCTTATTTAAGATTTTAATTAATAACCTTGGCATAAAAGAGTGGAGCATGCTAATGAAATTTGCTGATGGGCAAAAGCAGGGAGGCAGCATCAATATGAGGGAGGATGGGGATATCAGGCAGAAGGGACTGCACAGTCTTCGGGACCAGAATAATAAAAACAGCACAAAATGTAAGAGTCCAAGTGCATCCCTCCCTTCTAACGGAACCTTGTGCCCACTGACCTCGAAAGTGAAACAGCATGTGATTAAATAAACACAGGCCATGGGGAACCTGCCCGTGCCCAGAGGGCAGCAATGACCACAGGTGGTGCCAGTGCCTGGCTGGGTCCAGGTGAGACCCACCAGACACCAAGACACAAGGGAGGCAGCATTCCCCCAGCATCTCTCACCAGATCCCCCAGCATCTCCCTCCCTGCCCCTGGACCCCACCTGGCAGAGGGCAGGGGTGGGGAGGGGCAGAGGAAGGGACCCCCCAGCACAGCCTGGCTCACCCCTCCTCTCCTCCCCTCTCCCACAGGGCGGTACATAGAGAACCACGGCGTGATCCATAACATGTGGTTCGACACCAAAACAGGCGTGAAACTGCCCTACTACACCACACAGGGCATCAGCAGCTGGTGGGACAACGGCAGCCTCCCCATCTGGATCACTGCCCAGCAACAGGCAAGTGTGGCACCTCCTCCTGCACAGACCCTGCACAGACCCTGCCACGCTGCCACCCTCCAGGAAATCTCCAGGCAAGCCACGATCCCCAGTGGCCGAGAGTTCCCAGCCTCCCTTTGAACGTCAGGCTAATTAGAACAGCAAAAAAAGTGAAATCCCCAGACACTGGCAGGAATAATTATGATCATTCTACTAAAAATAGCAAAAAATAATAGACGCATTTCAGCTTTATTAAGACATTAATAAAGCAGGTTATCCTGTTCCTGTTTAAAGAAGCCTCAGCCAGTTCCTCAGGGAACATCCTGAGCCTGGCAGCTCCACAGCCCAAGGCACATCCAGGGCACCTGGGTGGCAGCGTCAGGGGTCACTCCTGTCCCCTGGGAACTGCAGCAAGCCCAGCAGGCTTCAAATCCAGCTTTGAGGCAGGACATGAAACCCAGCCCAAGAGCTTTTTCCACATTTACCTGCCAAACTGGCTCCCCTGACTTCTGTAAAACACACCTGAATGTCTTGATGGTCAAGAGCCAGAGGGTTATGCAAGGTGCAAAGGGGCCACTGGTTCCAAAGTTTTAACTGGTGATAAAGCACCGTGAAGAACCAGGTGTAAGGGCAGTGCTTTCAATTAATCACTTTTAATTGGCAATGAGCAAGAAAACCTCATTAGAGGCAGAGGCAGACATTGGGGACAGAAGGAACTAATCGTGTTAGGAGGTGGCTGCACTGACAGATGGAAGGATGCTGCCAAGGGAGTCCAGGTGAGTTTATGGAATGCTTCCCCTCACAGGGTTTGAAGACAGGCTCCATCCACTTCCCTGGAACCAAAGCTAAATACCAAGGGAAAGAAGTGTACAAGAAGTTGGTGGAACCTGCATTGTTCAACTACAGCAACGAGACCAACTGGAGGCAGAGCATCGACACCGTCATGGAATGGTTCACAGCAGACAACCTCGACTTCATCACGCTCTACTTCGGGGAGCCAGACTCCTCAGGACACAAGTTTGGCCCCGAATCCACACAGAGGAAAGCCATGATCAAGCAGGTGGACAGAACCGTGGGTTACCTGAGGCAGCGCATCCGGGCAAGCGGCCTGGAAAAAACGCTCAACCTCATCATCACGTCTGACCACGGCATGGAGACCGTGATAAAAACCAACGAGATTCACATCCGCAACATCAGCAACTTCTCCTTCAAAGACATCGACTTTGAACTCTTAGATTATGGACCAAATGGACTCCTAGTGCCAAAAGAAGGGAAATTGGAGCATGTGTACTCAGTCCTGAAAAATGCCCACCCAAACCTGCACGTGTACAAGAAAGAAGAGTTCCCAAAGAGATTCCACTATGCCAACCATTCCCGGATCACCCCACTTCTGCTGTACGGCGACCCAGGCTACGTGATCCATGGGGTAAGGTGTAAGCTCAGGCACATCCTACTGTCCTTTGGGATGTGCCTCTCCCTCCTCTCCCTCTCACAGACCCCCAGCACCCACCCAGCTTTAGCTCTTTGTGCTAATTACACAGAGATAGAAATTCCAGCTCTTTGTAAAAAGACCTTCCCTGCTGTTGAGAAGAGAAACTATCTAGAAACCTTGGAGCAGGAGTAGCATGAATGCAGAATATCCATTGCAGGATCCTCTCCTAGGCTGATATAAAGGAAGGCCCAGCACCAAGGCCAGCAGGCAGCTTCCCACTGGAAGCTCCTCAGCGCAACAAAGCTTGGATGTGCTGACATTTAGGGAGGGAACTTGCAGGATGTAATCGCTTGAGAGAGGTGTCTGGAGGCACCTCCAGCTCCTGCAGTGTTTAACACTAACAGATCAACTTCCAAAACGGAAAGGAACCAAGCAGACCATCAAACCCCACAGCTGCAGAACGTGGCACACGAGGTGGGGGGCAGAGGGCTTGGGGTGCTCACGTTGCTGCTCTCCCCTGCAGAGGTACAAGGTGCAGTTCAATAAGGGAGAGCACGGCTTCGACAACGACGCCATGAACATGAAAACCATTTTCCGTGCCGTGGGACCAGACTTCAGGAAGGGGCTGGTGGTGGAGCCCTTCGAAAGTGTCAATGTCTACGCGCTCCTGTGCGAGCTGCTGGGCATCACCCCTGAGCCCCACGACGGCTCCCTGAACGTCACCAAGCCCATGCTGCGAGACCCGACTGACCCGATTGAACCGACTGAACCTACGAAACCTGGGGGCAATGGTGAGCACCGGGACTCACAGGGGGCAGCGGGAGCGGCAGCAGACACCGGCCGGGAATGGCAATGGGCACCGGGAACGGCAATGGGCACCGGGAATGGCAATGGGTACCGGGAGCGGCAATGGGCAGCGGGAGCGGCAATGGGCACCGGGAGCGGCAATGGGCACCGGGAATGGCAATGGGCACCGGGAGCGGCAATGGGCACCGGGAACGGCAATGGGTACCGGGAGCGGCAATGGGCAGCGGGAGCGGCAATGGGCACCGGGAATGGCAATGGGCACCGGGAGCGGCAATGGGCACCGGGAGCGGCAATGGGCACCGGGAGCGGCAATGGGCACCGGGAATGGCAGTGGGCACCGGGAGCGGCAATGGGCACCGGGAGCGGCAATGGGCACCGGGAGCGGCAATGGGCACCGGGAATGGCAATGGGCACCGGGAGCGGCAATGGGCACCGGGAGCGCACCGGGATCGCTGCGCTCCGCCGGGATTCCCGCGGGAACAGCGACACCTGGCGGCCGCCGCCGCTCCGGGGCACCGGGCCCGCGCCCCCTTCCCCGCCGCTCCCTCCGTCGCTCGCTCCCCGCTCTCGGTGGCCAGGCAGGGGTCACCGGGTCCCCGGCCGGGAGGAGGAGCAGAGCGGGTGGCGGGAGGTGACAGTCACCCGTGGGGTGCTGCCCCCGGGGCAGGGCTGGCACTCACCCCCTCTCGGCACCGCAGGTTCCGGTTCTCTCCATCCCGCCAAGGAGCTGCCGCTGATGCTGGGACTCGCCCTGGTTCTGGGATGCTGGGGAGGAGTTTTCTAACCCCCACCAGGTACGCGACCCCAAAGACCCCCGGCAGGACCCTTACCCAGGCAAACACGTGCCCCGTTTGGGGGTGGTCGCCCCGGGTTTCGTGTGTCTGTGGAACCCCCCCCCAAACCGCTCCCTGCGGGACACAGCAGGGGCTTCACACCTCAGACAGGACTCTGTGTTTCTCCAGCCCGGGGTCAGCATTGACACCACCAGGGCATGGGCTGGGCTGAAGAGAAGGGGTGGGCGCCCCCTTGGACCGTGCCACTGCCCCCTGTCCTGTCCCCCCTGTCCTCGGTGTGCAGCCAGGGCTGGATCCTGGCATGAGCAACCCCGAGGGGTGAATCCTTCACTGCTGCTGGCTCTGCACGTGGCCGTGTGTGGCTGCAAGACCAGAGTTTGTCACTTGCCTTCACAGTGCAAATTTGTCCAGAGAACCACCAGCACCAGTAACTCCGGCTCCAATTCCCGGCACTTCCAGACGATTCCTCCAGGCTGCAGAGACTGAACCAAGCACCAGCAGCGTCGGTTCTCCTGTCCTGGCAGCCCCCAAACTCCAGGCAACTCTACCAGAACACATGGCAAGGTGGGGAAGGACATGGCTCACAAAAACAACCAGAGTCAGGCTCAGGGAACTGGACAAAATTCCTAAAACCTCTCTAAATCACTGAGTCACTGCGCTCCAGCACGGCTGAGTCCCCGGCGGGGGAGACGCCTGTCCCAGGCTTTGGGGTGACACCAGGATGCATTGCTGTGGAAGGCGGCACTGATGTCCAGCCCGACATGATCACCCCGTGTTTGCATCACCCCAAACGTGGGAGGCACAACAGCTCCCGGGTGGGTTTGGAGACAGCTGATACATATTGAGTATCCAACTTAATTAAATGAAAACTTTGTTCAGAGCGCGCTGGGAGCCTCCCCTGAAAGGCGCCAGGCCCCAGCCAGGGTGGACTGGCTCACCCTGGACCTGCCCAGGTCTCAGAGAGACCCCATTTGTCTGTGCTGGCCACAGTGTGGGGCTGGCCACAGCACCCCCAGCCCAGAAGCCTCGATGTGTCCCAAAGTCAATCAGCACTTCCAGCTCCTGTCCCAAGAGCCCCAGGTGCCCTCAGCAGGGTCCTGCTTGTCTTTCTGTGCTTGGTGGCTGTGGACAGAACTGGGAAATGCCCCCTGTGCACCCCTGAGCAGCAAACCTGCAGCTCCATGGCGGAGCTGCTGAGACCTGCCCCAGCTGCAGCTCCTGGCAGCTCTGGGAGGGGCACTGATGTGTTTTGGAGAGACGGGGAATGTGGCAGTGCCAGGGCCAGGACCCCCCAGCTCACAGCAAACAGCCCTGAGATTCCTGAGCCAGGGGCTGGCAGAGCCTGGGTGTTGTGCCAGGCTCCCAGGACCTCTCCACAGCAGGGCTGAGGCAAAGCCCCTCACAAATCCAAACCTCCCTGTGCAGGAAACAGCCCAGGGCCCTTCAGCCAGGCTGGGGCTTAGGGAACAAGACCCCTCCCGTCCAGCACCCCCATCCCAGCCCTTCCAGAGTGGCATTCCAGCACCCCCAGACCCCTCCCAGATGCTGTGGTGCCTTTCCCCAACCCTGTGCCTCATCTCAGGGGCTCGATAAACATCTGTTGCCATAGAGACTCGCTCACTGCATCGCCTTCACCCAACGAGATGAAACAAGAGCCGCACCCTCAGAAAAACAGGAAGAAAATGTTTGGCTTGAAACTGTGCTGGGGTGGGGGTCAGGGCGGCGGCGGCTGCAGGAGGCTCTGAAAGGGGAGTGTGGCCAGCGCTGTGCACGCCACTGAAATTGATATTAATGATAAAAGTGCACTGAAACCTTCCCCGTTCTCCTGCTGGTGACCTTGGGGCCTCCCGTGCAGGTCAGCACAGCCCTGCACACTCTACAGGCAGGGGCAGCCAGCTCTGCTGGGAAGTTGATGTCCTGGAGATCCTGGCAGAGCCTGCAGAGCTCAGAACCCACTGGTACCAGCTCTGTCCTCATGCCCAGGGTGGCCAGCAGGCAGAGAGCAGGATCACAAACCCATGGAATGGTTTATGTTGGAAGGGACCTCACAGCCCATCCAGTGCCACCCCTGCCATGGGCAGGGGCACCTTCCACTGTCCCCGGTGCTCCAGGTGTCCAACCTGACCTTGGACACTTCCAGGGATCCAGGGACAGCCACAGCTTCTCTGGGTACCCTGTGCCAGGGCCTGCAGGGCCTGCACCCTCACAGGAAAGAATTTCCTCATAACATTTAACCTAAATCTCTCCTCTCTGAAGTTTAAAACCATTACTCTGTCCTATCATTCTCTTCCCATTTAAAATGTCACTCTCCCTCTTTTTTATAAGCCTTTAAGTACTGAGAAGCCACAGTGCTCATAGGGCTGCTCGCAGTCTGGTTCCCAGACCCATACAGGGAACGTGGAGTTTGTGGTGACCAACCTCCAGACACAAATCCTTATCTGAGAGCTGATTTTTCCTCACCTGGGAGCAGGAATTGAGTTCCTGACTCCACCTGCAGCATTTAGGTGAGACAGAGCTCTGCCATAGAAATCCATAGTGAGGAAGAAGCCATCCTGGAGAAAGGCTGAACCTGACATATCCCTGCAGGAAGGTTTCCATTGCCCTTCAGGCGCAGGGTTTGCCATGGGACACAGCTCGGCGTGGCTGCTGGCACAGGGGCAGCTGAATGCAGCGTGCTGGACACGGAACTGGGTCCACTTCCAGCACGGATCATCCTCCGAGCCCTGTGCCCCTGAGCACGTGGAGCTGGGGGAGCCTGGTCCTGTTCCTCCATCCCCCTGTACCCATCTCCCTCTGTCCCGGTGGGGCGGTGTCCCAATGTCCCGGTGTCTGTCCCGGTGCAGTACCGGTGTCCCGGTGTCTGTCCCGGTGTCTGTCCCGGTGCAGTACCGGTGTCCCGGTGTCTGTCCCGGTGCAGTACCGGCAGCCGGCGGCCGAGGGCTCCCGAGCCGCGCTCAGCGCCCGGCGCCCCCGAGCTCCCGGCACGGGCGGGGGAAGCGGCTCACGGTAAAACCCCGGCCCGGAGCATCTCCCCAAACCCGCGGCCCCCCTCGCCCGGCACCGGCCGCTGCCCCGGGGCCCTCCGGTAACTCCCGCGGGGAGGGATCCGCTCCTCGGTCCCGAGGGACAAAGCCGGGAGCCACCCGCCAGCACCCAGCGCAAGGCGCAGGGATGCTCCAAGGGATGCCCGGGAGATGCGGGTCACACCCCGAAATCCCCTCCTGGCCCTGACTACGTGCCCCGGGCTGACGGATGCCCCGATGTCTCAGGCCAGGCGGATGAGATGGATCCTCCCCGCTGTGGGTGCGAGTTTGAGCCCCACAGACACACAGAACCTAACCCGGCTCCTGTTCCCCAGCCCAGGAGCCATCTCTAGCCCGGCCTCTTCCACGGCAAACCCAAAACTGCGGAATTTTTAATGTTCTTTGAGCCTTTCCCAGCCCTTCCCGTGGCTCCTCACACCTTGTGCATTGGTACTGTGGGATATTTTCACCAAACGTTCCCCGATGACAAAGCCCAGCCTGGCCTTGCCCGCTCCCCGCGTCTCCTCCCGCCCTCCCATCCCCACGTAATTCATTCCCCACCGCCCCCCTGCCCGGGCTGGGGGTCACGCAGCAGGGAGAGCCCCGCTGTGTATTGCATCCCAATTTGCCATGCATTTCCACACCATTTGCTTCCTTTTCTTTTTCCTGCACTGGGAAGCTGCTCGCTGCCCAGGGGTCCCGACCACTCCGGGATGGCAACATAACAACAAACATCCAAGGACACGTATATATTTATGGCACACGGTGTGTGGGGACGCTGCTGCCTCCCAAAATGCCTGTTCTAGGGGTGGCTGACTCCTGCCCAGGGCCACAGGACCCAGCCACGACGTGGTCCCTGGCCACCCCACCCTGGACGCTGCCCAGCCCCGGACCCGGCTGCAGTAGCCAGGACCCGGCTGCAGTAGCCAAATGATATGCAGATCTGTGTGCTTTCATTGGCTGCTGCCTCGGGAAAAACAGCCACCATTTGCCCACAACAAACATGGCCACCATGGCCACCATGGCCTGGCTGTAGCCTGGGCTGGCCCCGGCCTCGCCCTCTGAAGTCAGGGACCCCCAGCACCGCTGCCATGGGGGTCCCGCAGGGAACGGGGCGTGAGCAGAACTCGTTCCCAGTAACACCCTGGTTATAGAACAGATCTCCAGTCCAGGGAGCAGCATGGCCCTTTTCCCCTCCACAGGCAAAGGGGACTCAATTCCCCATCCCTTCCTTCGACACCAAACCCCACTTCAGCCTGACAGCCCCTGCTGCAGACATAACACAGGACACATGGCATTCCTGGGATGCCTGGCGTACTTGGGGAAAGTTACAAATTCATGTTCCATCAGATTAGTTCAGGGGTCTGGCTCTCATTTTTAAGATGACGACAGTTTTCACGGTGATTGGTGAATTTATTGGCCCCGCTGTGACTTTGCTTGGTGGGAGTGTGGGGCCAAGTTACTCAGTGCGTGTTGCTGAGTTTCTCCAGAAAGGTGAAGTCCCTGTCAGGGATGGGAAACACTGAATTCATCAAAAAGGCACTCACAGGTGGAGCCACATCTTTGGCAGCAGCAGGAGGACATCTCATCCTGCCCCAGCTGGGGCAGCCCCCACCAGCAATGCCAGGGAAGCTCCAGGGCTGGGATGGTCTCCTCTGGCTGACCGAGTGGAACAGAACATCCCAGAAGCCCTGGGGATACCCCACTCTGCCAGGGCTAAAAAGCATCGAGCCCACAGCAGCCCAGGCACTGCCCAGGACCAGTTTTCAGTGAAACGCTGTGAGGAAAAAGGAGATTTCCAGCCCAGGGAGCAGCAAAGTCCTTTTCACCCTCAGCAGGAACAGGCATGGGGGCTGAGCACCATTAGGAATCAGAGTCCCCACAAGGACTAGGGACAATGCTGATGGCACAGCCCCACAAACGCTGTGGTCCCTAAAGAGACACAAATGTCAAGGGCTGCTCCCATTTCTATCCCCCCAGCCCCTCCTCAGCTCAGCAGACAGCACATGGAGCCTCTCCACTCACTGGCCTTCCCTTCCTGGCCCCGGGAAGGGAGGGAACAGCGACCTTAGCCCTGCATCCCCGCGGAGAGCACAGGAACAACAGCACTGAGGCGCGGCTGGCACAGCGAGCATCACCCAAATCAGGGCTCGTTCACCCCTCAGAGCCCAATCCCTGCAGCCAGGAGAGCCCCACGGCTCCTCATCCCTCGGGCTGCGCCCACACGGCCGTGCTGCCGTGCACGGCTCAGGGACACGGCGGTGGGAGCTCACACAGGGCTGCTTCTAAAACCTAAGAGGTGTCGCACACAAAGAGCCGAGCTGGCAGAAGGTAAATGAACTCAAACAAAAAGTGCGGCGCTGTGTAACAATTCTGTGTCACCTTCGGCTAAAAAAACGCTCCTACAGCTCTTCTCGTCAGTGAACGGCCACGGTAATTGGCAAAGAAAACAATGAAAGGTGACAGCGCCCGACCCAGGACAACCCCCTGGCATCGACCCAGCACCCCAGGCACGTCCCCGTCCCGGTCAGTCCCGCTCCCTGACGACGCTTCCAGTTTCTCATTCCCTCATAGAGGGTCCCCGTGGTGACAATCCCCCGCAGCGGGGACAGCCCAACGCACCCGCTGCGGCTCCGAATGCTTTTCTAAACCCGGCATCGCTAAACCCGGCATCGCTAAACCCGGCATCGCTTACCGGAGACGGCAGTGCCCGGGGTGCGGGCGAGGCCCCACGCAGGACACCCCATGGCCCGTCCGGCTCCTGCTCAGTCCCTGCGCGCCGCGGGGCGACGGAAATTCATATCCCTGCGGCTCCCGCACGGTTAAGGGCAGGCTCCGGGCCCGCGGAGGAGAACTCCCTGAGGTGCTGACTCATCTTCTTCCATGCCTGTAAAGCACCATATTTCATCCTTCCACGCCCACAGCGCACAACCGCCGTGCAGCAGCTCCTCACGCAGCCCCGCACGCCCCGGTGCGTGCGGTGCCGCCGCACCCCCGGTAACGCGGCTCGGGAGGGACCGTGGGCCGGGCGGAACCGAGCTGCGAGCCGGCACGGCGCGAGGGTCACAACCGGCCCACCCCCCTGGGAAATCCTTTATTCTATTATAATCAACTATTTTAGAACTGAAACGTGCCGGTGCTGCTGCCGCCTGTTCCGGCCCGGCGGGGACAGGCGCTGGCTGCCCCAACCCCAGGGTGCTTTGTCCCCAGGAGGGACCCCGGGCGGGGGGCTCGGAGCCCGGGTCAGAGCAGCAGGAAGCGCTGGCGGGGTCGGAGCGGGGGG